AGGATAGGAGGAGCTCATAAATCGATTCCTATTGATGATTGAGGGTTTCGAGCGCAGGCGTCTTCAAGGCGAGCACCGTGCGAGGCGCTGGCGCAACCAGAGCACTCATGGGTGCGGCCTGTTCACGAGAGCCTGGTGCCAGCGGCGCCACCGTGAACCCGACCGTCGCTGCTACGTATGAGAAGGACGCTCCCTCGCTCAAGAAGGTCGACGAGACCACGCCTGCCACCGACGAGGCTGCGGGCGACGAGGTCGCCAAGACGGAGGCCGTCGAGGCCTTCTCAGAGTGGGTCAAGACCATCACGCCTCGCCGCACGGACGACATCGCCGCGGAGAACGTTCACGGCCACGACGCCACCGATGCCGAGCCTGCAGCGGAGGCGCCTCTGGTGGAGGAGGAGGTGGAGGCGGAGATTACCGCGGCGGAGGCGGAGGAGCCGGCCGCAGAGAGAGAGCCTGTGGCAGAGGAAGAGTATGCGGCGGAAGAGGAGCCTGTGGCACCGATGGAAGAGCCCGCTGAGTCGCCAGAGGGCGCCGTCGACACCGCAGTCGAGCACAAGACAGGCGGCGACGGCGACGGCGTGGCGGCGGCGGAGGCGCCAGAGGAGGCACTTGCCGAGGGCGGCTACGCTTCGCCGCGCAAGGCGGCAGGCGAGGAGGCGGAGGTGGCGCAGCAAGTCGAGGCGCAACAGGAGTCGAACGAGACGAGCGTCGAGGAGGAGGCGCCCGCCGCTGACATGATTGAGACCGAGCAGGACTGCCCGCGCGAACGATGCGCTGCCGGGGAGGTGGCGGCGACGGCGTCGGCTGGCCCAAACACCTGGGATGAGGCCGTCGAGGTCGAGTCCCCCCGCGATGAGGATCTCGCTGCCATCATCGCTCAAGCCGAGCAGGAGGCGACGGCGATGGTCTCCCCTCGCCAGGAGGTGGTTGCCGAGGAGACTGTTGCGGCGGATGCGGCGGCCGAGAAGGCGGTGACCGAGGAGACGGCGAAGGCGGAGATGGAGGAGGTGCCGGGGGGCGCGGCCGACACCGCCATCGACTCGCTCGAGGAGAAGGCCGGCGAGGATGTCGACTGCGACGGCGAGGGCCCGCCGGCGGCGGAGGAGTGGTCGGCGGAGGGCGCTGGCGAGGCGGCGGCGGCGGAGGAAGAGGAGGAGACGGCGGCGGAGTCGGCGATGACGGAGGAGGAGGCGCCGGCGGTGCCGGAGAAGAAGACGTCATACCTGGGCAGGGTGGCGGCCATCCTCTCGCCGCGCAAGAAGGCGGCCTCCGCTTCATTCGCCGACGCGCCTGTGGCCTACGACGACGCGGCCGAGCCGGCGGAGGCGGAGGCGGAGCCGGTGGCAGAGACGGCCGAGCCGGTGGCAGCGGAGGTCGAGACGGTGGCAGAGGAGGCCGAGCCAGTGGCAGAGACGGCCGAGACGGTGGCAGAGAAGGCGGAGACGGTGGCAGAGACGGCCGAGCCGGTGGCAGAGGAGGCCGAGACGGTGGCAGAGGAGGCCGAGACGGTGCCGGGACAGGCGGAGGAGGGGGAGGAGACTGTCGACGAGGCGGATGATGCAGAGGTCCCCGCGGAGGCGGAGGCGGTGGAGTCGATGGGAGCTGCGGTTGTGGAGGACGCGGCGGAGGGCGCTATGGAGGCGGTGGCGTCGGTGGCGTACGTCATTGAGCCCAAGGGCACCGAGGAGACGGCGGCGCCTCGCCTGCCACAACCGCCGGCCTTCTCCTCGAGCGAGTCGATGGCGCCGCCGGGGGCTGCGGCAGACGAGGCTCCCAAGGAGGCGGAAGAGGAGACGCGGGCATCGGTGTTTGAGGCGGAGGAGGTCGAGGCGGCGAAGCGCAAATCGTCGCTGGACCGCGAGCTCGCCACGCTCGCCGCCGACGCAAAGGTGTACGCGGACGCCGCCTGGCAGCGCGCCTCTATGCGCTCGTCTCGCCGCTCCTCCGCCCGCCACTCGGCCCGCCACTCCGCCCGCCACTCCGCCCGCCACTCCGCCTGCTACACCGACGAGACGAGCGAGGCATCCGAGGATGAGGCGAGCGTGGAGCCCCTCCCGCAGCCCCTGAGCAAGATCCCAAGCGGCGTGGAGGCGGTGGCGGAGGAGGAGGGAGCCGTGGCTCAGGGCGCAGAAGTGCTGCCCGAAGGGGGAGCTGTCAACGAGGGAGAGCCCTCCTTGATCCGTCGCTTCACGAGCTGGCTCTCGCCCGGCCTCCGCTGCGTCCCGAGCCAGGACACGCCCCGCCCCGCCCCGCCGACCATTCCACGCCTGAGCCTCGCCTAGGCCAGCGCAGTCTGGGGCGGCGCAGGCAAGACCCGCACGTCAACATTCGAGAGAGAGTTAGAGATTAATTGACGAGAGGAGGAGTGGAAGAGATGGGGGAGGGCACTCGCCGTGGCACATGTCGATAGACCGATAGAGAGCAACGCACGCCGTATAGAGAGCAACGCACGAGTGGCGGAGAGTGACGACACGAGATACTTGAGTCGGTACATGCATGTTTGCATCTCCTGGTAGAGGTGTCCTTTTTATGTATTTATTGTGCAGCTGTGGGGCGCACCGGCACCGCCGGCGACGGCGCACCGCCGGCCGCCGGGCTTTCCGCTCTCGCCTCTCGGTCGTGTGTGTCGTATCTCTGTGGCGAGATAGTGCCGTACATTCTTTCACAAGAGACTCAACTAGAGCCGTGCGCGTAGGTACTAGCGTTGGTCGCGTCGAACAATACCACGTATGCCTTGCCATCAAACGTACTACCACAGGCTAATAGCCCATCTCACACACGACTCGACTTCACGCGCGCGTACATTCGTACATATCAAGAAACACCGGCCACAACTGTCTCTGCGACCGCCTCGTCGAGCGCGGCTGCGAGGTACCGCCTCTGCAGCTCCGCCGTTGAGCCCTTCGCGGCGTGCAGCTGGTCCCACTCAAAGTACGGGATCGACACCAGCCTCCACCCAAAGCTGCGCAGCTGCCGCCGCTTGAGCAGCGTCGCGCTCGAGGGCGCGCCTACTCGTGGAGGCGGAGCGTGAGGGCGAGAGACTGGGGGCGCGCAAACACCGCGCACACAGAGCAGCGCACGGTGCTGCGCCGCACTCGCCGTCGCGCTCGCGGCCGCGTAGTGCGATGGCCCGTCCACCTCGACCGCCACGCGAGCGCCCCGCCTACAGCGTGCGTGCCGTGGACGCGTCACTGCGACGTGGTGCGCCGTCAGGGTCGTGTGCGGCGGTGCGGCGCGGCGCCACTCGACGAGGTAGTCGAGGCTGTACCCCTCGGGGATGGTCACCTCCTCGCGCGGGCGAGAGCCGACGAGGCGGAAGAGCGCGGCGCCGACGTGCCTCTGCAGGCGCGAGGGGCGGCCCTGCTGCGCCGTGAACTCGGCGTGGCACCGCCTGCGCAAGCCCTCGCTCGGCATGCCCTCTGTTTGGCCGCACTCGAGCGAATGCCACAAGCACCACACGTGGAGCTGCGTCAGCTCCTCGCGCCGGAAGAGGTCTGCGGCGGCATCACACCGACGCCCAAACTCGAGACCAAACAGCTCCGCCTCCCCTCCGCTGGTGGAGCGCGAGGGCTCGCCGACCGTCGCAAAGGCCCACGCGAGGTTGGCGAGGCCCTGCGGCGCAAACTCGGCGAGCCGCGGCGCCGCCTCGTCGGCGATCGCCTCGAAGAGGGCCGGCGCAGGCCGCCCGGCCGTCGCAAACGCCCACGCGATGGTCGAGATGGCTTGTGGCGAAAAGCGGCGCAGCCGCGGCGCCGCCTCGGCCGCGATCGCGTCGAAGAGGTCGGGCTGCGCGTGCTGCAGCGTCGCGTACGACCACGCGAGGGTGGCGACGCCCTGTCCACTAAAGGCATCCAGCCGCCGCGCCGCCTCCTCGGCGAGCGCGTCCAGGAGGGACGGCGACGGCAGCCGCACACGCGCAAACGCCCAGCATAGGTTGGCGAGTTCCTGCGGCTTGAAGCGGCCCAGCCGCCTCTGCGCCGCGGCGCCGAGCGCGTCGAGGAGGAGGTGCGTCTCTGCCAGGGGGTGGCTCGCGGTGGCGAAGGACCACGCGATGTTGGAGACGGCCTGCGGAGACAGGTCGCGCGCGCGGGAGGCGGCCATGGACGCGAGGGCAGAGTAGAGCGAGGGCGACGCGTGCCGCGCGGTCGCGTACGCCCAAGCGAGGTTGGCGATGGCCTGACCCGAGCACTCGCGCGCGCGGGGCGTCGCCGCCTCGGCCAGCGCGTCAAACATCGCGGGCGCCGCGTGGCCGGCGGAGGCGAAGGCCCACGCCGTCATCGACATGTCGGGCACGCTGAACGCGGACGTGCGCCGCGCGACCTCCTCGCCGAGCGCCTCGAAGAGCGCGCGCGGCGCGAGGCCTATCTTTGCGCACGCCCAAGCGAGGTTGGCGAGCTCGCGCGTCTTGAAGGTCGCGAGGCGCGACGGCGACTCGGCGGCGAGAGCGGCAAACAGGCGCCGCTGCGCGCTCCCTCTCGCTCCCGAAGTTGCAAAGGCCCACGCCAGGTTGGCGAGGCCCTGCGGCGCAAACTCGGCGAGCCGCGGCGCCGCCTCGTCGGCGATCGCCTCGAAGAGGGCCGGCGCAGGCCGCCCGGCCGTCGCAAACGCCCACGCCACCATCGAGACGCCCTGCGGGGAGAGCTCCTTCAGCCGCCCGGCAGACAGCTCCGCCGCACTCGCGTCAAAGAGCGAGGCCGCCTCGGCGCCCGCCGCAGCAAAGGCCCAGAGCAGCTGCCCGAGCGCAAAGGAGGGGAAGTCGGACAGCCTCGGCTCGGAGGCGGCGGCGAGGCGGTCAAAGAGCGCCGGCTCCGGCCGCCCCGCCGTCGCGAACGCCCACGCCGTGTTGGCAAGGCCCTGGCAGTTGAAGTCGCGGGCACTGGCGGCCGCGGCGGTGCCGAGTTTGGACCAGAGCGCCTCGTAGGGTCCGCCCTCGAGTCTGAGCTTGGCGGCAGCGTGCGCCGTCGCAGAGACGCCCCAGGGACCCCAGTCGTCGAGCGCCGCCGCCGTCTGCCTGGCCAGCGGCGCGAGGAGCGCGGGGTCCTGCAGCAGCCGCCGCCGGTCGGCGTTCTTGGCGATCCGGCCAAGCCTCGACCAGCACGTGGAGAGGTTGATGTCATCGAGCGCGTCACCGTGCGCAGCGTGCAGCTGCAGAATGCCGTCCACCGTCGATGCGTTTGCGATGCGGCCATTGAGCTGCCGTGGCGTCAGAGGCCGAGGTGCGCACAAGACGAGGGCCTGCCGACTGAGACCTCGCCGCCCGCGCCCGTCGTACCGACGAGGGCCCGCCAGCGAGTAGGCCAAGGCTAGGAGAGTCAGCGGGAGCATCGCAGGAGGACTATAGGTGCACTCACCACATAGGTTCACCGCGCCTGCGCCGGGCGACACACCAAAGAAGAAATCAAGTCCCGAACATTTCATTCTTTGTTGTTTGGTCTGCACCATTAATTGTTTGACGTGACTTCTTCACACAAAAACACAACCCCGGACCCAAGACGCACAAGCACAGACAGTCAAGAAGGGAGAGACAGCAACGACAGTCAGAAGTCAGAACAAAAACAAAACGAACACGTCTCCAGCCCCAAATGACGTGTGAGTGTTAGAGTTGTTTGAAAATACAAGCCACTCCCGCAGCACCCTGGCACGACAAGGGCGCAGACTGGCGCGGACTGGCACACACACCGGCACACAGTGAATAAGAATTGGCACTTTGTGCTGGGGATAGGACCGCCGCAAGCGTCCTCCCATCCCTCCCTTGAGGTCGGCGATCGAGGTGCCACTCTGGACGTCGAGCACGTTGTACGTTGTGTGCCTCAGCCTGGCCAGGGCCGAGTTTGCGTCGAGGAGGAAGAAGCGGGTGTCGTTGATGCGGAGATGCCACTTCTCCGGGATCCGCACCTGCCTCGCCGAGGGCCCAATTTGCGCCGCGGTCGGGACGCGCCCGTGGTCGATCCGCTGCTGCAGTGAGCAGGCAGTGAGACGACCGAGCCCTCCTCGATATGCGCATCGGTGCACCGTGTGGTTCGCGGCGAGCCCAGAGAGCGGGAGCCGCTGGAGCGGGACTCTGCCGGCGGCGCGCCGCAGCGCCTGCTTGCCGGCGTCGTCGAGGTTCTCGTCATCGGCGATCGCAGCGCGCGCCGCCTTGGCCACGGCGGCATCGTTGATCGTTCTGCTGCGGCCCGCTCGGCCGTGTCTGCGGGTTGCAGCATCGCTCCGCCAGCTCGAGCCAGCGCGACGTCTGGAGCTGCTTTTGGCGAGATGGCAGCGCCCGCTCAGCGACGTGGGCAGGGAGCCGCGAGCGCAGCTGGTTCAGACGCCGCTTCATCGCGGTCTCGCTCCGTGGACCCGAGACCGACATGATCATCGCCGACTTGAGCGGAGCAGTGGGGTCGGCCAGCGAGATCCAGAAGACCTGGAGCAGCTGCCGGTCCTCTTGCTCCGTCCACGGCTCGGCGCTGCCCCTCCTGCTCCGGTCGCATGTTGAGAGGTACTGGTTGATAGCAGTCGAGACGTCGTCGTCTGTATCGGCCGGCGAGTCGTGGACACACCATCTCCACGCTCCTTCAGCGCCGCTGAGCGTTTGCTCTCGTCGGGGTCCGTGCACTCCATCACCGCAGTTCGCACGCGCTCAGGGCTGAGCTGCTCGGCGGTAACATTGCAGATGGCCTCGACGAGCTGAGACGGCAAGCGCTCTTGCAGGTTCGACCTGAGCCGCGAGAAGTGCTTCTTGCACGCGTCGGCTTTGCGTTTGCCCACGGTGACCTCGCTCTTTTTGCCGCGGTCCAGTGTTGCACGCCAGCGACGCATAATCAGCTCGAGCTCGTCGACAGCTTTCCAGCCATTGGTCGTGACGGCGCGCTGTCCCGGCGGAGGATCGTGGCGCGAGCGCGGAGTGCAGCCTCCGGACTCATTTCCACGGAGGAGCTGTCCGCGTCCGACATTACGACGTCGGGGGCGGCGTTGGGGGTCGGGGTGGCGTCAGATTTTGGTTCGCATTCACCGCAGCCGCCGAGACCGTTGTCGGGAGTCGGGGCAGCGGGGTCGTGACTGCACGATCCGCGTGACCCCGCACATCCGCACCTGTTCGCCCACTCTGGAGGGCGCAGTGGCGTCGGAGCTGCCGGCATAACACAGTCGTAATGGTGGTGGAAAATTGATTTTTAATGATTAAACGATTTGCATTGGTGTACATGTACACGGTCTTGACTAGCCGAGGGGTTGCTCCCACCGGCAGTGGCCATCTCGATCAGCAGTAGCCGTAATAGTCCTGCCCGGCGTAGACTGGCCCCAGGTCGCAGGAGGCGCCTTCCGGGAGGTTGTCGACCTGAGGCAGGGGAGAGGTCCGGCAAGCCCGCTTCACCGCGCTGCAATGCAGTGCGGTGTGGGGCGGTGCGAGGAGGGGGGGCGAGGCGCGCACGTAGATGCTTCCGTCCTCCAGGTTGGGCACGTCCTCCAGGTTGGGCATCGCCAGCGAGGCGAGGTTGTCGTTGCCGTACACCTGTCGCGGTGGCGAGGGGCGCGGGGCTGGGCAGCGGTGCGGTGTGGGGGCGTGAGGTGAAAGATGGAGATTTAAGATAAGGACGTTGTCTGCATTGCAGCCCGTAAGCAAATGCCACCTGCCGTTGCATGCGAGGGTGATTCCTGCAGCGGCGTTGAGCGCGTATTTGCTATTTTCGCAATTGTTGCCGTGTCGGGCGGTCGCGATTGCGTACAGCCCATCGGGCCCAGAGCGGTAGTCCCCACGGTAGTCGCGAAAAAAGATGGTTCCGAACATGGCATTGATCGAGGCGATGCGGCTAGAACAATCGTTCAACCGGACCAGGGAAGACGGCATCAGCAGCAGAGGCGCCTACCACCCATTGGGCGGGCAGACAGAAGGCCAGGGCAGCACTGGCAAGTGCAACGCGCCTCATGTGACATGTCGGAGAGCGACCGTGCCTCGTTCGCCGCTTATCATGTAGAGTTTGTTGTGATCTGTGATCTGTCTGTAAGGGTCCGCCCGCAGGCGCATTTTGTGTATACCGAGGCGGTGCCCGGTGCCGAACCTGTCGGACCTTAAGACAGCATTGTAGATCCCTGGACGAGGGTAGTGGAGAGGCCGGTCCGTCGGCGCCAAACCACCTCCCACCGAGGCGGGCAGGTTCCACGCGTTCCCGGACTGCCCCATTGGAGGTAGGCCACTCGTCTACCGTAGACCGTCTAGCCAATCAGCCTTAAGCGAGCGGCCTGGCCGTTGGAATGGCCGACGAGTTTGGTGTGGACTTGCGTCCTCGCATCGTTCGTGGTTACAAGCAGCGTTATGAATGAACACATTATCATCCACGACACACGTTCGTCCGATCAATAGCACCAAGTCCGCGGTGGCGCAGAAGGCAGATCGACCCTGTCACCCCGCCCGCAAGCGTGATATACGTAGAAAACTGACATAATGTGTGTGAGGGAATGGGATTCTAGAACTTAGCAACGTGGGAGCACAGATTCGAGCGAAAAGGAGACAGAGGGAGCCGTATATCGAGACGGCATCGGCCAGCTACCGTAATATTGGCCAGGCCAGCTGGGGCGGACCCGGTGTGGCGCAGTCCGCCCACAGTCGGCAACCTGTGTTTCCCTGAGCGCTGTGACGGGCACGGCTCGACATCTCGACAACCCCCCGGCCCCCGCCGACCAACCCCGCGGCGCTGCACCGGGGGAACCCTCACTCCCCGCGGGCGCGCGCGTGGCGGTGATACCAGAGGAGACCAGGTCGAGGAGAGTGTGCAGCCTCGGACACATATCAGGCCACATCAGGAGAGCCCTACCATTGGGGCGGTCTGGCTGGCGGGACAGAGCGGCGCCGCACAGCCTCCTCCACCGCCTCCAATGTCCGGTCAGCCACGTCGATATCGCTGATCCGTTTGTTGAGTGCCGTCCGCTGTGCAGCCACCGCTGCAGACTCCTGGAACCAGTCGCGTTTGGCGAGAAGAAAGGCGCGGAACTCAGGCGAATTCAGGCTGCGCAGCAGCGGGACGAGCACAGACTCAAATGCCGCGTCAATCAGCTTGCTCTTAGCGTTTGCGCCGGTCAGATCGGGCGGGATCGGAGGGGGGTCTGCACTCCATTGGTTGATGCGTGAATTGGCGAACTCCGTGGCGTAAGGGGTAAGCATAGAAAGGCGTTTGATGCGCAAGGGGGGAGTGTCGTCTGCCATGACATGTTGTAGCACGAATGGGATGAGCCACTTTGCATCGAAAGCATCGATGTTGTCTCTCCACAGCTTTTGGCTGTCGACCCGATCCTCTGCATCGCACAAGCGAGAGGCGCCACGACGCCGCCCCAAAAAGGGAGGCGCAGCTGCGTCGGCGTTGGGCCAGTGCAACCAAGGTGATGACGCGGCGTCAACGGCAGCGCTAACGCCACCAAAGTTGTTCAGCGTTGTCATCGACGCATTGTAGAGCTCGCTCTCCAGAAGCTGACGCATCACCCCGGAGGCTCGCTCTTGCACAGCATCAGCATCCGCCGTCGAGCCGGAGAGTGGGGTGCCGAAATCACTAAGCTGCTTCTGCGTGGCCGCCTTTAGCACTAACAGCTTTCTCTTCGCCTGCGGGACCCAGACCTCGCTCATATGCGTCTCAAAGAGGTCATTCAGCGCGTTGAGTACGCTGAGGATGCCAAGCGGCTTGCCCCGTAGCCCCGCCCCCGGCTCCGTTGCCTGCCACTCCTCGAACTTTGCGCGCTCGGCGTTGACCAGGTCAGGCAGTGTGATGCCGTCGCCAAATCGATTGATGACCGGAATCAGCGCCACCGGCTCGCACCCAACCTCCTTCTTGGGATCGGCCAGCCTTCGAGCGAGAGTAGCCAGCCCGTTGCTGTGCACCCAGAGGTCTGTCCGCGTCGTGACCACAATCGTCTTGGAAAAGGCTGGTCGGACGACCGCATGCTCGCTGATCTCCTCGAGAGCCCTTGATCCGCGCAGAGCTGCCTCGTTGCCATTGATGACGCACAGCACGAGAGTGTTCGGGTCGCGCAAGTAGCGGCGCGTGAGCTCAAGCGTCTGCTGCCGGACATCTGCGGGCATGCTGACGATGCCAGGGAGGTCAACGAGCGTCAGAGTCGGGACGTTGCACGCGCGAAATTCGATCTCGATCTCGATGTCGGTGAGCACGCTCCGCCCATCATCTTGCCCGTGTATCTGCACGATGAAACGCTCGATGATGCCCTGGATGACAGTGTGCTGGACACCATCGACCTCGAAGCGCTGCTCTGCGGGCATGCCGTTGAACATGGCGACTTGCCCGTTGGAGGTGCGCAGGCAACGAATCATGACTCGGCTCTCGTGGGGCCGGTGCATCATCTTTAACCGTATCGCCATGCGCGTGCAGAATCCCTCCGCGCGAGGAAAAAACGCTTGCATGGCGATGCGCTCCATCAGGGAGCTTTTGCCGGCACTCTCAGACCCGACAACCACGATCTGGGGGAGCAACAGGTCGTCGGCCAAGCCTCGTGGAAGTTCCTCCATCGCCTCCAAGATACGGCCGTAAGCACCGCTCCGCAACGTCGCACCGATGCTGCCCTCGCCAGCGAATGCGTCCTGGCTCAACACAGCCTGACGGCGCAGCTCCTGATCGTAATTAGCGCGGCGAGATGGCTCCTGAAGCGTGTCCCAGGCCTGCTCGATCTTCTGAAAGATCTGCGTTGCCCGATCGGGCCTGTCTGGATGCCTGTCTGGATGCCAGTGGAGCTGCAGCTCTCTGTGCCGTGCCGCTATCTGCCCATGGGTCGCATTCGGCGGAACACCCAGCACGTCGTACGCCGATGCTGCTGGGTTGAGTATCCGTGCAGCCTCGCTCTCCCGGTCCTGCGTAGCACGCGATTATTGCTCAGGCGATGTGAAGCGCGTGTGGGGGGGGCGGGCAACGCACCGCCATGATGCAAAAAGGCAAGGAGTCACCATGCGGCGGCGCAACCAACAGCTCTGCTTTCGGAGTTCGCGATGGCGTGTCACGCATATAGTCGAGTAGCTTTTTTTTTAGCGCCTTCGTTGTTAATAATACAAATCCCTTCCCTTTGAATTTGAGCAGCCGTGTGGTCTGAGCAGAAGGCGCCGGCTGCAACGAGTCGCAGGAGCACGACGAGGAGCGTCTTCGCCAGCGCGCCGTCGAGCGCTGCCACCATCGATCGCCGAACGCGGCAAGTGCTGTATCTCGCGCTGCCACAGGCTAGCCCACATGTCATGACGTCACATGTGCGCGGTAAAAAGGAGCAAGAGTCTGTGACCTACCTAGTTGTCCGGCATGCGAGGGCATGCTCGGCCGTTCGGAGTCCCCCCTTTTCATGTCACCATTCTCTCGGTTAGCGTGTCTGAACTTGACGGGTGGCTTCCGGGGCG